CTGCTGCTGCTGCTGCTGCTGCTGCTGGTCCGAAAAAATTACACTTGGCGAGGGGCCGTCCGTGCAGCTGCTCAATCAGGGCCGAAATGCGCGCCGCTGGAGCGAGCAGATCAATATGAGTGCACCTCTCTACGGAAGCCTGTCGGTGAGCACGATCAGCATGTCGATGCGTGAGAGGAGCGACCGAGTGGCGACAAAGCCGTTGCGCTTTCGGGAGTTGCTGCGAGTGGGTCGCCGATGCAGCATGCAGTAGCGGTGCGGCAGAGTGGCGAGCTCCAAGTAGGACTCGACGGCAAAAGTACAGCCGCTGCTCGATCGCCGATGCATCGACGCCCGCTATATCAAAGCGCTGTAGCGCTTGCCAGACCGAGATGAGTCCCGTCTTGGATCGAGCTTTGCCTCCCAATCTGACGTAGGTGGGTGCAGCTTCATATGATACTGCGGATACTGTACTGCGCTTGGGCCACGCCGATCGCATCTTTATCTGCAGCAGCGCCTCAGTGACATCGCGGACCGCGCACGATGGAATGCTTCAAAGATCGAACCTCGAGTTGCCGTGCAGCGACAGATGAGCTCGAGGGCCGGACCTTATTCAAGATTGACTGTCAAGCCCGGCAGCAGAGCGTCCGGAGCGTCGGAGAATCCGAAGCGGCCTCATGCACCGGACACCGCGCTATGGCGTAGAAGAGCATCCGCAGTGCGAGGCAACCTCCAGCTTTGACTTGCGTCGGCTGAGCCGTCTCGAGCGAGCGAGCAAATCAAGCAGCCCAGCTCGTTGTTCAAGTCCGAGCGAGGCCGTGGGAGCAGCAGCCTTGGCGCTTCGGCTAGGCCGTCTTGACGTGGCTCGACAAGGCCGAGAGTCGTGACAGCTGCTGATCAGCAGGTGCGCACGTCCACGCATCCACGCGGAGCCTTTTTTCCCCTCTGATTTGGATCGCAGAACGTGCGCCTTTTGTTGTGGACGCCCGCCAAGGCTCAATTGCTCAAAGAGATGCAGGGGCCCTGCAGCTCGAGCCTCGCCTGTCTGCTGTCTCGTTTTCCGGGACGTGGCGGCGAGGCTTTTTTTTTTTTTTTTTTTTTTT